CTTGTCATCGACCTTTCATTGACTCTTCTCACTTGTTCACTCCCTTTGGCAGCTTGCGCAACTCGTACTTGCGATTGCTCTTGACTTCGGTACTGACTTGGATGTGAACTGGTGCTTGACTGTGATGGTGCATTCCACGCACCACTTGACCATTCTTGATCTTGGTTCCAATCTTCTTCGCCTTCGCGCACTTGTCGCATCTTTCCTTTCGACTTTCCTCCTTTTCCGGAGTCCTTTCCTCCTTTCGCTGACGTCCAACATTCTGACGCGAAGTGACCATACTTTCCGCATTTGTAGCATTCTACTCCAGATCTTGATCCTTTTCCACCTGAACCTTTTCCTTGACTTCCGTAGCCACCATTCTCCACTTGCCTCACAAATTTTCCTCGTCCTTTGTCACGACCTTTGCCGCGGCCTCTTCCTCTTCCGCCTTTCCTTTCCATTCCTTTTCCTTTTCCTTTTCCTTTCTCGAACTTTCCTTTTCCTTTTCCTCTTCCTCCTTTACCTTTGTCATACTTTCCTTTTCCCTTTAGACGATCGATCTCCATTGGGATCGGTCCTTGGTACTCCTTGGAGCTTGAACTTGTTCCTGGGGCCTGAACGCTCAATGATCCCAAAATGTTCTCAGCAGACCACGTTTGGTTGCTTCTCTCGTACTGTAGCAGCTTCGTTCTCAAATCGTTGTAACTTGTCTTCTCATTGATTCCTACCATGATGTGCTGCTTCAGATTCTGCGGGATGCCCTTCAGCAACGTTCCGATCTTTAGGTTGTCATCGTACTTCGGTGTCGATAACTTCTTGTACTCATTGACCAGCTTCTCGAACGTGAGGACATAATCCATCAGGCTAGCTCCCTTTGCCATTGCAGGGAATCCAACCAAGGCTTGGGCCATTGCCAGACTTCGAGATCTAGAGGATGGCTAGCTGCTCAAGACGGAATGCAGCTTCATTCCTCTTATCTTTCGTCCTTCATTCGCTGCATGAAATTCATCGATGTCATCCTCGATGTCCAGTGCATCCGTTGATGCTTCGGCTTTCTACAAGTCTGCCAGGAACTCATAGTTCATGAATGCTAGAAAGTTCTTAAAGGCGAAAATCCAGTCACTCCATTGAGAGACTTCTTCTTCCAGTGTTGCCTGGTTGAACACTTCTGCGGCTTCAAGATCTTTCCTCCGGTGTCGAACGGGACACCTGAGGGTTGCGTCCTTGACGCTCCTTCACCTCCCAAACTTCTCGGGGAGTTTCTCGCAGCTTGGACAGCACCTTTGCTGGCTGCCTCAGTAAGCCTTTGCGTTGCTTCTGTCAGCTGCTGCTGTTGAGTTGCTGTTTGGCTTGCAACTCTTCCTAGAGCTTCTGTGGCCTGGCCAATGCCAGCCAGCATTGCTTCAAAGTTTCTTTGTTGTTCTGCCATTGCTCTGACGATCTAGGCAAGTCGTCCAGACTCAAGGCTCTTCTTCAGCAAGGCGTAGTTGACGAACCTTAACTCTTGCTGTCCTCTCGAATTACCTCGTCTGCAGCAAGGCGCAGTCAATGAACCTTAACTCGCTGCCCTTTGACTTCCTCCGGTGATAACGCCCACCGGAAACGAACTTCTTCTCTTGCAGGGCGTAGTTGATAAACCTTAACTCCTGCTTCTCTTCTTTCTCCTTTCCAGCCCGTTGGCTGGCTGCCAGCCCTTCGGCTGGGCTTACCTTCTTTCCCTGAATCTGCTTCTTTAGCTGCTGGCCTTCGCCAACAGCTCCACTACCACAAAAGTTTAAAGGCTAATCTCAACCTTTCTAGAACACAGATTCTCGGCACTCTTTTCCGTTCACTTGCAGCTTTTACGAGGGGTGCAGTTTGAGCCTATACACAGCGTGAAACATGTCGGGCATGAAAAGTGAACTCTTTGTTAGTCGAGCAGCCACCATTGACTCGCCTCATCTTCTTTCAGACGCTCGCCTTGTCAAGGACTGCATCCGACATGTCAAACTTTGGAGTCAGAGCAACCATCCTCGTCCTAAACCCTAAAACGTCACTACACCCGACATGTCAAATCTGATTTTGGTGCTTTTTTTTGCATTCTGCTTGTTTTTGTGGGTTTTGCCCACATTTTTGAAGGTGTTCGTTTTTTTGGTCCTCGTGAAAAGCAGAGTCGCAAGCACTCGCTTCCTTTTTCCTTGGAGCGCGGTCTCAGCTATTAGACTCCGAACTGTGTGAAACACATGAACCACATTCCCAAGACAGCTACCTGTGCATCAGAAGAACAAAGAAACATGGATTTTCGTCGCGCGAAGCGGTAGTTCGCGCCCATTTGGGCCTTCCAGAGCAGGGCGGGCCCCAAGTCATTCCTACCGTGGGAACAAGGCGAACCAACCTCATTCCTACCGTAGGAACGAGGCGTGCCCCGTCAGGCTGCGCTGTCGAAGAGGAGGCCATCTCGATGCCCAAGTTGCTTTCCTCCAGGTCACACAAGCCCTAGTGAGCAACCAGGATGCATCCCACACAGCACATGAACCTAGAAGGAACTCGGTGGCCAACGCCTCTAGCGCAACTGACTGGGCCTTTCGACTCTCTGTTTCCACAGACACAGCTCCACATCGTCAGCCTAGTGAGTTTTTGCAGCAACCCTAGGCAGCATTGATGCCCACTCATGTTTTTTGGCACGTCGGAGATTTTTTAGAATCAAGTCGTCATTGCAACGGGGTGGAGTACTGCTGCGAGCATCTTGACAGCCTCTCTGCTGGCGCTCAACTTACTCAGATGATGACGTGATGGTGATTTTGACTTCTGGCACACAATCGCATTTTGCGATTCCCCCACTCGACCTGGTGCTGCATTGGCTCCGTTTGTTGTTGTTTCTTGGTGTTGCTCGTCTTTCTTGTTCTTGTTGCTTCTCACGGCGATATGTTTCACACCTAGGTGCGAGACCCACAAGAACGGCCTACTGTGCTACTGATGTAGTAAAGAGTCCTTTTAACCCCCGAACTTCCACGGCGCAATACCCGCGCCCCTCAATCACGTAGTGCTGGGCCGTGCTTGTTTGGAGGTGTGACCGACTCAGGACAGCAACCCTCCCGTTGGTCCCTTTTTTGATCGTCGGTGAAGCCTCTCCTCCCACCATTTCGAACCCCGCCTTGTGCATCGCTGCCACCGCGGAGTGAAGTGACGTCCTATCAAGGTGGGTTTCCTGGAGAAGGATGATATCATCCTCCAGGGCTTGGAGCCATTTTTGGACGTCAGCAGTGTAATGTTGGAACATCGGATGCGACACGTGTGCCGCCCCTTGCTTCCTAGACTGGCAATGATGTCCCCCACAGCCCGGGTGAGAACCTCAAACCCGTGGGTGGCACGTTCGCCAGTTTTGCTGAGGACGAGCGCCCACATGCTGCCCTCGTGTGGCTCCACCATGTGATAGCGGCGAGCGGTGAAGCTGACGGGTTGGTGGTGCATGTCGAGCCAAGTGCCTCACTCGCCCCTCTTCGTGGCCAGCCGGGCAGTGGAGTCCCCTTCGTCGTCTTCGATCCACACCCGCCCTGTGTAGTTTCCGAGAGCGAGCGCATGATTCAAGTGGCCAGCCATGTTCTGAATGTCGAGCACGGCGATGGAGGGCCAGGTCCGTTCGGAAAGCGTCACTGCGGTGCAGGCCGCTCGCTTGCCCGTTGCGTTGGAAACACCGCGCACCCCCCGTGCTGTCCTGCTACTGTATGGCAAAACAAGTCTCTTTGGTCTCAACTCTCTGTGCATTCACACAGTGAAAACCGGCCGCTGCGCGGGGCAGTTAAGTCATGGATCTTAAACTCTTAAACTGCATCACTTGCATGACACGGACCCTGCAGGTCGAGCAACGCAGCGAGGTTTCTGCCTTCATAGCACGCATCCGCGTGCTGTGAGGGCTGTCCTGCTACTGTGTGGCAAAACAAGTCTTTGGTCTCAACTCTCTGTGCATTCACACAGTTCTCAACCTAACTGCCAGAAGGTGTACTGAGTGGTATGCTACTGCTACGGCCCTGGCGAGGCTTTTGGCACGAGGTGTGGTGGACCTCCCACCATTCAAAGCCCCGCCCCGAAGTGGGCAGTCACCTTGGAGGTGCTATCCTTCGTGCAGTTGTAGATTCTTTCTAGACTTCAGTTCCCGAATCGTGCTATGTTCTCATTGCTTCGATGACATGATGTTCTTCAGCTAAGCATGTCTCCTTTCCTTTGAGCTATGTCGCAAGCCATGGCGGCCAAAGAACAGGCCCCAGGCGAGGCAGCTCCCTCAGCGGAGCAATTGGTAAAAGACGAGCCACAGTTAGACGCAGCTCAGTACCAGGAGTTCTTGAAGTGGAAAGAACAGCAGGCGCAGAAGGGCGACCGGAATCCCGGCAGCCCGAAAAAACCAAAGATTGATGGTGAAGAACTGACTCTTTTCAAGCTGAAGCTGAACGAGCTCGATCTGAGCTGGGATGAGATGTCTCCAGAGCTGCGTGACACACTGAGATTGAATGAGCGAGCCAGGGAAGACTTTTTGGCCATACACGCGCGCTCCAACCTTCAAGCATATGACCCGGCAGCCGGCTGCTTTACTGAAGAAGCGGCGCAGAGCCGCAAGCGTGACTTCGAGGCAACTACTACGACGACACCCTCCATAGAGGGGCTGGACCCTCGCATGAACGAAGCTATGATGAAGTACCATTCTGTTAGCGTCCTTCCAAATATGTCGAAGCTTTTTGAGCAGTGCAATATTTTCTACGGACAGGTGCTCGCCGAGACGACCCACCAGCAGATGAACCAATGAGCGCGTCGCCGCGCAGATTCAGAGCTTGGAAAAGTCCAGGGCTAACAAGACGGTGCTCCTGCATGAGTTGCCACTCTTCACAGGCAAGACCCTTGACAACAATATCTGGCATTTTGTTTCTGGCGCTGGTCTGGAATACGAGGACATCTCTGCCCTTCATAACCACCTCGTGAGCTCCAGCGCCTCCACGGTACGAGTTGAGTTCCAGACAGAGCAGAAGGCTCAGACATTCCTGAACTACATGCGGAACTCAAAGAAGTATTGGAAGGTTCCCGACCAGAGCGACACCCGACTGCGGGCGGAACAGGATGTTCCCACGGACGACCGTATCTCCATGCAGCCTTATTTCGCACTTCTGGATATTCTGGGCGAATTAGAAGATGAGTCCAACCTGCAAGTTTGGCGACAAACCCTTCAGATCTGGGCTTCAAAGCAAGCAAACGAGCAGCCACTGCTGGCGCAAGTGGCCTACGTCCTGGATGCGAGATATCCTCGCCGGTATTGCTGCCTCCTTTTGCTGTGTGAGAAGCATTACGACTCCATCTTGGATCGCTGGCACACGGCCTTTTCGAAACGAATGCAGCAGACGATGATGTTGATACAGGCCTTACGCAGGGCAGTCATTGACAAGACGACCACATCGAGAGCATCCTATGACAAAGCCTTTGATGTTTCGAACGTAGCGTTTCACCACAATAGCTTCCCCTACCCTATTTTCCCCATGAAGATTGGTAGAGATCTAGCCACGCTTCTGGAGAGCCACCTGATGCTCCCCTTTCAAGGTGCAGGCGGGCTCCTTTCAATTACTCAGCAAGCTTTTCAGGATTATGGGGTTAATTCTGGTGATTTCGGAAAGGGTGCTGCCAAAGGCAAGGGTTCTAAGGCCAGGCCCTCCGGAAAAGGTAGCAGCCTCACGTGGGGCAAAGGCTCCGTGGACTTCAAAGATTGCGCCCGAACCCCTAAAGGGAAATCCTCCGGCAAAGGCTCCTGGAAGGAAAGAGACCATGACTCCAGAACAGATTGGCGAAAAAATCCGGACGATGATCAGGACGATTGGGGCTCCAGATGGAAACAGCAGGGTAATTGGGGTCAAGGGAAAGGTTGGCACAGCAACCGCCAGTCCCAATGCAGTAACCAGGGCTCCAAAACCCGCACGCGTACCCCTCCAGGAAAGGGGAAGAACAACCAATACTCCGGCGCAAGCAAAAGCCCTCAGTTGTGCAGCAGGTGCAGATCTGCTTGGCCTGCACATGTGCCCTAGGTTACAACCTCTCGTGCCGAGACTGCTCCCACCACGATATTCCTCCTGGCTTTACCCAAAAAGTCAAGGTTGTGGTAAAAGCTTACATCTGTCCCTCATCCACCACAGCAGGCATACAGTGTGGACAGATCCGAGGCACAGGCGAAGGCTGCCCATTATGCAACGAGGCCCGCCGATATTGGTCGTCAGAGCAGGCCCAGATGGGCTGGACGTCCCTCCCCATAGCCCGAAAGTGCGAATTGCTACAGCTTGACCGCATTCTTTATGAAATGGAGATAGTTGACTCCTCCTGTTCGGCTACGTATCAGTTTGTGGATGGCATGAATACTCTCTTGGCAGGCCTTAAAGAAGACGATTACACCCCCAGACAATGGGCAGCATGTTGGATGACCCCCGAGGATATCGTCAATTGTTATGGTCCCCTAGATGACCCGATCCTACTGCAAACCTTTTACATTGTATCATGGTTCATGGATCTCCTTCGAGATATCTGGCGTACCGCAGGAGTACACCTAGCCAAGAAGTACGAGCTAGAAAAATGGGCTGCCAATTTCGACCACTCCCCGATTCTCCCATGGCCCCATATGATAGCCAGCTCTTTCTCGTTGGCGTACGAGCATGCCAAGTTGTTTTGCCCAACGCCCGCCCCAGCCTTGAAATGGTCCAAAGACATTTTTGACTGGATGCTTCAACTCGATTTGGTCAAGGTCACGACTGACCTCTTTCAGGTATTGGCTGAGGAAGCCGCCGGGCTTCTCGACGGTGACGATCAAATTTTGTCCCTCATCAAAGGCGAACAGCCCTACACCAACACAGGGGCCGCAGCAGTCGGGGGCTTCGGCTCCCTATACTTTGACGCAGTCTAATGGCAGTTATCTGTAATCTATGGAGTGGCAAAAAATCCACAGACTACGCAGCTCCAGGCCCCAAACGATGGTTTGGTCCATCTCTTTGAATATATCATACCCCTCCTTACCCTGAACAAAGCAGATGTCAGCAATGTAAGATCCCGAAGCCACGTGAACAAAGGCAACATAATGGAAGCACTCGCCCTTATCCTTGCAGAAAGTGGCTCGCATTGGTTAGTGTGGCGGTGCGCTTGGGCAATTTTTGTCCACCAGCATAAACATGTCCACCTCCCATGGGTTGTTCAGGTCTCCGTCTATTGACTCATGGTGTTTGAGCTGATTTTTCATGATTTTCGCCCCACTTAGCAGCACGAATGACGGCAAGCTCCTTCCTTCTATCTCTGCTTTTCCTTTTCCTCTTTGCTCTCGGTGATTTTCTTCTCCTTCTACCTTTGCGTGTTTCTTCTTCCCCCCCCCTTAAGGACAAGCCGGGGCTCTTGGAGCACTGGCCCCAAAGACAGAGTGACATTGCGGTGGCTTCCCCGCCACAGATTGACATTAGGGCCCCGGCCCAAATGATTGACAGTATCAGGCCCTTGAGGCCAAAGATTGCCAATACTCTCGCGCCTAGCGCGCAGAGTGCCAACACCGCGTCGGAATGACATTATCAGCCCTGCGGGGCGCAAGAATGACAGTACTTCGGCGAAACAGCCCAAGACTCCCCACACTATCCGGAGGTTATGCTTCCGTGGAGTACTCCAAGCCGTATGCTTAATGAGCGCCCTCTGGGTGGCGGTCCCATACCGTACCTTGGTTTTCCCCTTTCCGAAAAAATTGGGGGATGCCCCTTTCAGGGTTGCTGAGCCATGCTTTTTTGAGCTAGAGCCCTGCTTTAGGCAACCGTCTGTTGGGAACCCGTTTGCACCTCGTCGCGCCGAGACCCAACACCACCGGCCCACCAGCGGCCGCCGTACCATCGCGATTTCGAGAAGAAAGAGGAATCGGAAACAGCGCAGCACAAACGGGAACATTAGCTGCATCCATTGCAATTGTGATTTGTATGACAAAACGTTTTCCTCTAAATTCCGAATCCCAGCCTTACATCTTGCAAACGGTATGCTGGTCCACCACTTTGTATGGTGTCAAGATCACCTTTCGGTCTGGTTTTTTAGGCGAGGGGTTAGGCATTATCAAGTCTACAATGGTAACAAAGCATATAATCTTTACAACCACATTCACGCCGCGAGAGCCGCCAGCGGCAAGCCGGGAGGCCACGCCTCACCAAACAGATTTTATCTAACTTTTTTGCCCTCCATGGGCTGGAAAATCGATACAATCTTGATTTCAGTGGCCACGAATCTCGCAGTGCGTCAGGGGTCAAACCTTTTCATGACAATTGCCGTTTGCTAGAAGCGCGAACCAGGCGCCACCAACTCCGCAACAGCCGGCGACGCCAGTCCCGTAGGGACTACCGACGGTGGATACACTCTGTGCTGGAGGGTGGGAAATTTACCCTAGCCCACCCCCGGCGACCCCTGAAAAGGGTAGCTAATAGCCCTGAACAACTTAAACGCGCTTACTTTGCTCAGCGCCTCCAGCCCACGATAGACTCGCGCGCTTCTCTCTTTCGCCGCTACGTTCAGCCCTCGCTGCTGGACCTTCCGTTCAAACATTTGTCATGGCGACCCAAAGGCAATCGCCTCAACATGGCTACTTGGAACATCGAAACCTCGTCGGGCTGGGAAAATACCAATCATTAGCGGAATTCACCATTCGCAAAGGCTTAGATATTCTGTGCCTACAGGAAACCAAATCAACGAGTTCTGACGAAATCTTGACCAAGGGAGGAAAATATCTTTTGGCAGGCTCCCCGGACGACCCCTCTGCCGGAGTGGGATTTTATATTCCACCAAGAAACCTGCCGCTGGTGCAAGACTTCATACCTTTTTCCGGGCGCCTTGCAGCACTAATGGTGCGAAGCACTCTCCGTGGCAATTTTTTCAAATTTTCAAAAATGCAAGTTTCAGCACTTTTCAAGGTTTTTGGAGTTAATTTTCATTGTTTGCAGGCGTCGCTGGGTTGTTGTTCAGCTCTCTGCAGTATTCTTAGCAGGAATTCACCCACAGGGAACATCTGAAAGCTGCATATTTTGAGAAATTTGAATTTTTGTTTTTTGAAAACCATGAAAAATGTGTTTTTTTTCTTTTGTTGAAAACTTTTTTGTTTGCTCCCATTTTACCTGGCAAGATAGCATGTAGGAATTCCAAAATAATTTGTTTTTAAACCAACCATTCCACAGAATGCATTCTAGATTTTTTGGACGCCGCGTTTCTTGCAATGTTTTTTGAAAATTTCAAAATTTAAAATTTTGATCCAAACCAAACCGGTTGGCTTAGTTGCAAAAAGTTAGTAAGGCTCATTCTGTTTTCAGATCATTTCGTTAACAATGTTTCTCAAACAAGGAAAAGTTGAGAAAAATCAAAACATCAATTGATGTTTTAAATTGTGCTTAAGCGATTTTGTTTCTGAACCAAAATCAGTATTCACACTGCAGACTTTTGAAATGCTTAAAAACTAGTGTTTCCTGTTTTAAATGTTTTTTCATTTTTGGAAATTTTGAAAAACAATCTGCTTTGACCCAAGGCAACTTTGAAACCAGTGTTTTTTTAAATGTTTTTCATGTTGGAAATTACAAAAATAATTTGCTTAACAGGGCATCTTCAATTTGCTCAAGTTTGGTCTTGCCTTGCATGTGTCAAGCCAGACAGCTGAAAAACACAGCCAAAGTTTTTTTTGAGGTCATGTTTCTTTGCTGGTAGCTTTGTTCAGTTTGCAGGTGCAAACAGGAAAAATGCACGTCAAGTCAAGCAGCAGAAAAAAAAATGGGCTGAGTTTGAAGTCTTGGCTTTGACAAGATGGGCTGCGACGACCCAATTGCAGACCGCGACGGCGACGCGTGGGTGGTGGTGGCCGTGGACATGAGTCATGACTCAATGACTTATGACTCATGACTATGACATGACTTATGACTCATAACTTATGACTCCCATGTCTTTGCACTTTCGTTTGATGTTGGTTTGATGGTAGGTGCGCCGTCTCATCCCTCTTTGAATCTCATTGCTCTAGCTTACTGGGGCGCTGTTGCGTCGAAGAAGCAGTGGAGGAAAAAAATGACTTATGACTTCCACAAAATACATTCTGTTTTTTTTGAACGCCGCGTTTTTTCTAATGTTTTTTTAAGATTTTCAATATGTTAAATTTTGATCCAAAGCAAGCCGGTTGGCTCAGTTTCAAAAAGTTAGTATGGATCATCTTGTTCATTTCGTTGACAATGTTTCTCAAACAAGGAAAAATTGAACAAAAATTAATTAACGTTTTTTTTGATTTTGTTTTTCAGGCAAGTTTGTTCAGAGCGATTTTGTTTCTAAACAAGGCATTCCAAAATTATTATTCATATTGCAGACTTTGAAATGCTTCGAAACCAGTTTTTTTCTGTGTCTTAAACGTTTTTTCATGTTTGAAATTTTAAAAACAATTTGCTTTAAAAAACGTAGCAAAAAAGCATCTCCAATTTGCATCTCAAGTATGGTGTGGCCTGCATGTGTCAAGCCAGGACAGCTGAAAAACACAGACCAAGTTCTTTGAAGTCCTGTTTCATTGCTGGTGGTTTTGTTTCAGCCTTTTCTGCAAACAGGAAAAAATGCACGTCAAGCCAAACAGCAGAAAAGAAAGATGGGCTGAGTTTGAAGTCTTGGCTGGATTCGACGCGAACAAAGCTGAAAGGAAGCCAAGGCAGTTTTTCATTGTTCATGACCCGTGTTTGTGGCCGATGGGTTGCGGCGGCCGCAATGACTCACGTGACTGCCGTGACTGTGGCTGTGACTGTGACTGATTCATGGTTCCTGATTCATGATGATCTCATGAGTCATGACTCATGACTCGTGGCTCATCATGATCTCATGTCATGAGTCATGACTGAATGAATGATTGATGACTGATGATTGATGATTCATACTTCACAATGCTAATGATTCATGATGCGATGCGATGATGCGATTATGATTGATGCCAATGCCAGGCAATGCGGCGGCAATGCCAGGCCAGGACCGCGTGCCAGCACCAGGACCGCCGGGAAGCCGGACTGCCAAGATGCCAGGGCTCAGGACTCAGGACCTGGCAGGATGATGATGACGACGATGATTGATGATGATGATGATGATGATGATGATGATGATGATGATGATGATGATGATACAATGACACGATGTGATGATATATGATATGCTATGATCTGATATGATGATGATGATGATGATGATGATGGTATGATGATGATGATGATGCTGCTGATGATCTTCTGCTGAGGATCTGCTGACGCTGCTGGGCAATATGAGACTCTTGATGAGACTGCCGACAGGTTTGTTAATCTAGCCCTATGGCCCTAGAACACCATGCCGCGCCCGAAATTTCGGCCATACTTAGCTCCGTCGTAGGTAATGGGGCCATGTAATCCATGTGGCCCCCTGATTTGATGCCAAGCAGAGAGTGCTTCGCACCCCCATTTTGCCGTCAGGCAAAAAACCCAAGTCTTGCGCACGCAGCCCTACCCCACCGTGATTCTCACAGTGTATGCCCCCTCCATGCTTCAAGACTCTGCTCAAGATCTGAAGCGTAAACAAGCGTTTTGGGACGCTCTCCCTGAGCACCTAGCTCTGCTTCCTAAACCCGCCACTGTTGTCCTGGCGGGGGATTTCATGCCAGGATAGTCAAGGAAGATCTTTCTGATTACTCTAAGTGCATAGGATTTGATGAAACCACTAATTATACATATCTGCTTGAATTTATGATCTTCGAGAATTATGTTCTTGCCTCTTCGAAATTTAAGAGACCACACACAAAACTAATTACCTATAAGAAAATCAACTCCAGCCCGGACGCTTCACCGTTTGCTCCGACTTCCCAAAACTTCGCAGTAATTGACCATGTTTTGATCAGAGCGCTCTCTTTACCAACTCACC